CTTTCATTCCCGGCTTTGGCTCATCTGAGCATCGCACTGGCCCAAATATCATCACCCCAGGGAGTTGGCACCCTTTAAGGAATCTCTCCCGAACATCCTCTCCTGATCAGGGCCAAAGGAATTCCCAGTGGAGGGCGGGGACTCAGGACAAGCCCATGCGGGGGCTCCCACCACAGGACAGCAGGAGAGACAGCCACGGCAGGGGCAGCTAACGCCAGAAATCTTCATTGGCCCAACACAATCAAAGAAGAGCTGCTCTGACCGAAGGGCAACAACTTAGCAAGATGGAAGCGTGCATGGCAGCCATTTGCTTAAGAAAGTCAAGGGGCCTTCTGCGTCCATCTGAGGACTTGCAAACTCATCTCTGCAAAGCTCCATGGACAGCCTTCCTCCTACTGCTCTGTGTCCCAGAGGGCCATCTCTCCCTCTGCTCCATTCTGCACACATCACTATATAGCTGCCCCTTTCCCCCAGGCCTGTCTGCTGCTGGTTGCACTCCTGCAGAAGTTGTGCCTGTTAATGACACAGTGCATTTAGCGATGAGTGAATTTCCCTTGGTTACAGCAAGGACATGTTACTGAGGAGGGGGCAGTCGCTTCTGCTCCTCCCCAGCATCCTCCTCCCTCCTTATCTCATCTCTCTATTGAGGTCCTATTGAGGTTTAGACACCATGCCCATCTGATTGATTATGCACTCACTCCATCAGGAGAGTGAAAGGGAGCCCGCTGAAGGTGTCACGTGCTCATCTGGGGTGGGAAGGAAGTCACTGGAGCTGGCTTGCCCGGTTCCTGCTGTGACTCGACTCAGGAGCGAGAGGTGCCCAAAGGATCGTTCTCAGCTACCCAGTGCTTCCCTGGAAACTAGGCTGGTGCCAGTGGGAACAATCAAGCCTGAGGGAGAGCCAGCCATGAAGAAAAAGGCTGCTGGACCCTGCCAATGCCCACTTACACTATTAACCACTAGTTAGCGATGCCCCTTGTATTGTTCTGAGATGAGCATCCCGTCATGCCCTTGGTAATCCCCCTCTCTTCCTAATCCTGCTTTGCAGCCCCCATGGTGTTTGCCAATGGTTTCCAATTAATTTTAATACCCCTGTGAGGCTGGTGAATATTATAACCCCATTATCCAGATCAGGGAAACTGAGGCAAAAGAAAGCAAAGAGGCTCACCCTACAGTCACGCAGACTCAGAGACAGAGTTTGGAAGTAAAACCCTGGAGTCCTGCTCCCTGGTCCCCCCTGCTCTAACCAGTCGTCAAAAGTGGTTCCCACCATGCAGTAACCGCAGAGTAGCTGGGCAAGTTGAACTCGGGTCAGCTGGGTTGGCTCCAATTCCAGCTGGAACACCCAACCCATGCTGACACACGCCCATAAATTCACTCCAGGCCAAAACTCGGTTGGTAAGTTCCAGTGCACTAGCAATATTTAATGAGAAAACAGCCACAAAACACACACACTCACTTCCCAAAATACTGTAGTCTGATCCAATTGTTGTCATGCTGCAGGAGTGCACAGAAGAAAAAAATCTGACCCGGATCCAACCAATGAATTCAATGTTTGCAAACGTCAGCCTTTTAGCAGATGCTTCATGATATTCTTGCTGCTCTTCGACCATACTATGGACCAGTCCCCTTTGGCATCTAACAAAGATATGCAGCTTGGGCATTGTGAATGGTCTGATGACAGATTCTCCTGAAGGCTGTGCAATCTCCTTGGAAAGGAAATTTCCCCTTGAATTGCAGTGAAGTCTCACATCTGACCTAGGGCCTCCAGGCCACTATAACTTGGGTGATGAAGTAAGCTGTAGCTCACGAAAGCTCATGCTCAAATAAATTGGTTAGTCTCTAAGGTGCCACAAGTACTCCTTTTCTTTTTGCGAATACAGACTAACACGGCTGTTCCTCTGAAACCTATAACTTGGGTGTGACTTAGCCAGTGATCATCAAAGTACTTTGAAATTGCAAATTGCCATCAAGCATGTCTATAGCACCTCCCATCTGTGGATCTCAAAGCACCTTACAAACCAAGCTACACAGGCCCCACTGTGAACTCAAGAAGTATTACTGTCCCAACTTAAGAGAAGGCAATTGCCCACATTCCCACAGGAAGTCTGCAGCAGTACTGGGAATAGAAACCAGATCTTCTGGCGCCAAGTCACCCATATCAACCACAAGACCAGCTGTGCCTCGAACGGCACCAATTTCCATGGCAGATAAACAGATAGCGCATTAGTACTTCTTAAACATAAATTTAACCACAAGTGTTCCCAGCCTCTGAAAATCAGCTGGTTAGGGTCTTTCTTGTCCAGCTCCCTGTGGTTTTGAATCGGCCAATTCCCATTAACATCTTTGAAGCTCTACACTGCAGCCTGACATGATACCTGGTAATGGCTCCACACGGATAGGAAAGGAGATTTGCATGGTAGACTGCAGGAGCCCGGAATTGAATCCGTTATGGGCGACTGAGCAGATTGCATTAAAGACAATTTGTGAAACAGATTTTTATAGGGGACTTCTTATACCTTTTTATGGCAAGGAACTTTTATCTCCTTATAAGACAAAACTAACATTATAAGAAGAGAGGGAAGGGGTGGGAAACGCACACCGGAGAGGAACAAAAAAAATCTGCATTGAACAGATGAACATTAAAGGTCTGACAGAAGCAGAGGAATGCAGGGAGAAGATTAAAATTGCCTCCTGATTTAATTGCATCCTTCCTTGGTCCCATACCATTCCTGGGTCCCATACCATTCAGCAAAGTAGGGGATTTTTTTTAAATTTTTTTTTTTGACCAGCAGAGTGAAAAAGAGCTTCATTCTGTGTTCTCCACCTCTCCCTGCCTTTTCCCTGACACCTCTGCCTCTCTGGGTCTCAGTGGCTATATATGGATAGCTACATGCACGTGCTTTCCAGCTTTTAAATGTAACATCTCACTCCCTTGCAGAACTCACTGTGAACGGATGTTGCTGAGGTGAGCCGTTTAGTAAGATTCATAAGCTCTTTGGGGCTCAGGGATCATCTTTTTGTTCTGTGTTTGTACAGCATCTAGCACACTTGAGCCCTGATCTCTGGCTGGGACTCCTGCCCGCTACCAGAGCTGAAAATATCAACCACCCATGCTTCAGGGCACAAAGCGGTCACCAGCAGGGGTCAGGAAGGAATATATCACCAAAGCGTTGCGGAGTTGACTGTACGTTTCTCTGCAAATCAGAGCCAGGCTACCAGACAAGATAGGCCATTGGTAAGCTCCAGGAGAGCTGGAGGAGGGATAGAAGAGTAGACAGAGCACTGATCTATTGCGATCTGGCAGGAGATGGGACTTCCAATGGACCCTTAAGTATAGCAGGAAGCAGGATACCGATTAGATGGAGCACTAATCTCTTCTAGCATAGGAGTGGCAGGATAGGAACTGAAGCAATGAATAGACAGAGCAACTGTGTTTTGCTAAGGCAATTCCTATGCTTCAGTGGTGATATGAGGGATAAATTATTAATCACAGTGGCTGCAAAAGCAAACCACTCATCCCTCTGCTCCTGCAGACTCATTCCATCTCCAGTACCTCTTGGCTGTGTGTGGGGAGCGTGACCTAGCCAATGCCCCGAATGGAAAATCTCCAAGGGCATCCATGGCAAATGATTTCCTGCAAAGTTTGAGCTTGTTTCCTGCAAGAAGCCACAGCTCAGAGCAGCTTTTAAAACAGCCAATCCACCTGGCTGGAGAAAGTGACCTGTATAAGAGGCTGGGGCTGTTTTCACCCATCACATTATTACTCTGCAATGCACAACCAGCTCCTTTTCCTCCCAGGCAGGGACACATCCAGCTCTGGCTTCCCTTTCTCCTGGACTCCCCGCCCTTGGCAGATCCTCTCTGGACTCCTGACTTTCAGCACCAGGCCTTCACCCTCTCCCACATCCCTTGAGCCGGCCAGTCTCCGGGTTTGCCCATCCCTGATGCTCCCCAGTGGCGACAGGTCCCGGGGTACTTGCAGCCAGCTGCTGATCCAGCCCTCTGCCTTTCCCCCCTTTTAAAACGCCCACCTCTGATCCAGCTCCTCCCGCCTGCCCAGCTGTAAGGCTCCCTCCCTCTGCAGCCCGCCCCCCTGCCCCAGGCACTGGGTCGCTGGCTACTGCACTCACAGGCTTGGGCAGAAGGAGTTAAGCCCTGAAAGGGGGAATCTGTTGGAGTCGCCTCCCAAACGCATTTTCCAGCACAATGCCCCCGGACTGTCCCTGCCCCTCGGCCCCACATCTGAGTGCTAAGCCGACAGCCACCTTTTGTTTTCTTTGCAGGACCCCGGATTTACGTTAACCCGCTCGGTGCTGCAGCAGGCGCCAGGAGAAACAGAGCCAGCCCAGCCAGGGCAATTTGAAAAGTGGGTTAGCCTATGAATTGCCCTACAGCCGAGGCCGGGGGAGAAGGGGGCAGAGCCGAGCCACGCCTGGCAAACGGCTGCCCACGGCTCGGTTCTCCTCCCACTTGCACCAGCGGGTGCACGGCAGGGCGAGTCTTCAGCGGAGTCGCTCTGGCTTGACACAGCGGGCACCGGGATCCGAATCAGGCCCCGAAAGCGGATCGGCACCGTGACCCGTGCAGCTGGGGGAAGGGGGGGACGGGACACGCGCACCCCAAAACATCTGTGCGCCTCCCCCAGCCCTTTTCTGGGCAGCCTGGCAGCGCCCGACGCTGCCACCGCCAACACGCACAAACCGCCCCAGCGCCCGGGACTCCGGAGCCAGGCTGCCGCCAAAACTAATCATCCGGTTGCTGGTTTACAGGCAAAGATGATCTCGGCCCGTTCTGCCAGCCCCCCCCCCCAGATGCCTTCACGTCTGCTGCAAAGCTAGGCAGAAAAGAAGCCGGGTTCTCACCCCCCCCCCCACCTTATTCACCTCCAACTTCCCTTCGCCCCCCAGCCCCACCAATCCCCCCGCCCCATCCTTGCAGCCAGGGAGCCGGGCCCTGGGGAGGGCAGGGCTGGGCAGCCGCCGATCCCAGTCGCTCACCTGGTAAGAGGGAAGCCACCAGCAAGCAAACTCCAGTAGTCCACCAGCACCCAGGGCGACTCGACCGCCGGTGCGGAGCCATCAGAGTTTCTTACTCAAAGGGACCGGGCGCGACGCGGAGGTTCAGGCGAGCTGCTGGCTTGGGCTTGCACCCCACCCCCCTTCCAAAAAAAAAATGGCAAAGGAAAATACAAACACGACCCAGGCAGGGGCAATAAATATCGGGCACACCAAGCAAATCTGGCGGGGCAGGCTGTGCAGGGGCCCCTTAAAAATCCACCGATTGTCGCGGACAGCCTCCCTTCTGGGGTTGCAAAAATTGCTCCAAGAGGGAGCCCGGACCCGGCTTTTTTCCCCCCAGTGGGGAGCTCTCCTTCGTCCTCCGGCGACCACGTCCGCAGGGGCAGAGCTCTCTCCCTTAGCACCGCCGATCCCTGAAACCAGGCGGAGGACAAGTCATGCTCCCCTTCTCCGCCTCCCCCTCCGGACCCTGGGGGCAGGTCGGAGCCCTTCACCGGGGAACAAATCCCAAGGCAACCACGCAGGAGGCTGGATCTCTTCCCCCCGCCGCCCGGCCGGGCTGTGCAAAGAGGGGAAAGGGCTTGTTAATTTCCAGTCCACGTTGCTGCGATCAGATGGTCCCAGCTTGGTGCAAGTTGCAAAGCTCCATGTCTTTGCTTCTCTCCTCCAGGAGCAAGGGGGAGGCACTCCCCGGGCACCGAGAGCGGGAGCGAGCGGGCTGGCGGCGGCCGGGGCGACTCTTTGGCACCGAGATTTTGCTGCGACTGGGGGAAAGAACTGGAGTCTCCTTGGAGCATCAGCACGGGAAAAGCGGGTCCCTCCCTTCTGGTCTCTGATCTGTAACAATGGAACGCGCAGACACACACTGGCGTGGCTCCGGATCCGTAACCCCGCTCCTCCGCTGTGATGTCAGCTCATGTAAAGCAGGAGGAGGGCTCAGCCTTAACCCTTTCCACGGGGAGGCGCGGGCAGCAGCCGACCAGCCGTGGCCTGCAGCCGACCCCCACTCGCAGACCGGGCTGTGGCTCGTTTTTTTAGGGATCTCCCCTAACCCCCCTAAAAATTAGCACCGACTTCGAGTGGCTGCGCCCGCCGGGGAAGGCAGATTTAACATGATCCCGTCCCAACCCAGAATTCAGCCAGTCTGGGCCCGATCCTGCTAAAGCAGCATTAGCCCTTGAAGTAAGCTGTAGCTCACGAAAGCTCATGCTCAAATAAATTGGTTAGTCTCTAAGGTGCCACAAGTACTCCTTTTCTTTTTGCGAATACAGACTAACACGCTGTTACTCTGAAACCTGTCATTAGCCCACTAGTTTCAACTGGATAACTCCCCCTCATAGAGAGAGAAAGAGAGAGACCGGGAAGGTCTGCAGCCCCGACCCACTATTTGTTTGGTTTTCTATATTTAATCCCTGAAGTCATCCCATGGGACCCGGGTTCTGTGGCTTCCCGTGCTCTTGAGTAGTGGGACCAGGGGCCTGGGAGTCAGGACTCCTAGGTTCACCCACACATGCCCGCCTTCACCTCAAGCATTTCCCTTGTATGTTGTTTCCCTCTTCCCGCATCCATAGTCGGTCCCCCTCCATTTAGACTGCAAGCTCTTCTGGGAGCGCCTAGCCAACTGGAGTGATGGATGAGTAACACTAAATGATCCGGTTTTTCTGGCTTAGAGCCCCTGGGCCCCACTTTATCTACCTGTACAAAGGGGATATTGATGATAGGGACTTGCTTTACAAAGGGGCTGGATCAAGGCTGCAGGCCGAGGTTCCCAGCTCTTGGAGTCACTGGATTAAATCAGAATCAGAATATTATGGTTTTAGCCCTCATGGATACAGAAGAAAGTCTGAACATGTGAACCAAGTATAATATGCCTGCCTGAGCTTGAAAAAATAGCCCCTGCCACCTCAGTGGAGGGTGGGGGTGGGAAATATCTAAACCTCTGGCTTTCTTTCATTTGACCTAGTGTGAGACTTTGTTAAGGTCTGCAAAGCACTTGGATGATAAAGACGAACTCTTACTATTGGTAACAAGTAGAAGTCTGCCCCCAGCCAGAGATAGCTCATCAAAGGGATGCAGTTTAAGGTGCAGCCATTTCCATACCCAATGGTATACAAGGAGTGGCACAGCTGGCATCACATCTGACCGATTTTGACTTCCCTAACCCAAGGATCAGGTGCCCATTTTGCAGCTGGGTGAACTGGAGGTGAGATTTAATGTGGGAGTAAGCAAAACTCAAACCCACAGCCTCTGAGATTGCAGTCAAGCCATTGGCCACCACACCTCATAATTGGTTTATACACACACACACACACACACACACACACACACACACACACACAAATTTTATAAATGGCCCTTGTTTATGTAGGACCTAGACAATGTGTAATGTAAACAAAGGCCATGTTTTGAATATATTTTGTGTGTATATCGATATGTAGTCATGCTGATTCAGAATTCGCATTTTTTGCATGTATGTACTTTTTAAAAATGACCCTTGAAAAACAGGACCTAGAGAAAAACAATGTTTTCTGCTTTTAAAGGTCCCTCTGCTAACTCAGTATTTAACCAACAAGCCCTAGACCTCAAGCTGCACTGGCATCAACAAGGATCCTGAGTCTCAAACAAAGATGTGACGAACAACAACAACAACAAAGTCATGTTGATTTCAAGCTCCATTAAAAACAACACAGGAACAAATCAATGCTTGGCAAACAGAAAAGGACAGATTCAGTGGGGAAGGATATTGCATACAATGGTGAGTGGAAAGGCGGAAGCCATAAAAAGATACCTCCAAAGAGTCTTTCAACACCTCTTTCCTTTTTTTTTCCCTGGAGAAGCTGATTGCCATTCAAGGGAAGGCTGGACAGCCCTGTAACCAAGCGGATTAGCCAAATACAAGGTTTGTTTGAAAATAATGAAGGTTATTATGTAGTAATGAGGTTTAGCTAATGGATTCATGGATTTCAAGGCCTGAAGGGACCATTAGGATCATCTCGTCTGACCTTCTCTGTAGCACCAGCTAGAAAACGTCATCCAGTAATTTCTGCGCCAAGCCTAGGTCTTCTGCCTGATCTACACCATACGTTTTAGAAAGATAACCAGCCTTGTTTTAAAGACAAGTGATGGTGGATGGACAGGCGACAGTAAGTTGTTCCAATGTTTAACTACCTCACTTTTTAAAATGTATAGCTTAATTTTAGTTTGAATTTGTCTAGCCTCATTTTTTAGCCATCGGGTCTCTTTTTGCATTTTTCTGTTAGATTAAAGAGCAGTCTACTGTCAAGTTCATGGAGGATAGGTCTATCATTGGCTATTAGGTAAGATGATCACGGTTGAACCTCGTGCTCCAGGTGTCCTTAAACCGCTGACTGCCAGAAGCTGGGACTGGACAGCAGGGGATGGATCACTTGAAAATGCCCTCTTCTGTTCATTCCCTCTGAAGCATCTGGCATTGGCCACTGTTGGAAGACAGGATACTGGGCTAGATGAACCATTGGTCTAAGCCAGTATGGCCGTTCTTATGCTCTAAACTTGCTTGCCCATATAGGTACCTGTAGAGATCGTCACCTCATATTTCACAGCATCATGGCTTAGATCTTCATAACATGACCCTTCCTCTCCTTTTTCACTTGGCTGGATGAGTAATAAAATGTTGATACTTGAAGTATTTTCCCTAACTTCTGAGTTCGCCTCCATTTAGATGAATGGAGCAGTCTAAACCTCGGAGCTATTGTTTCAGGCTTTCTGCAAACTCCGGCAAGATATCTCTGTGTTGGTGAAATGCGCTTCGTGTTTTAAATGCTTTATTTGTAGCCCTAGCAGCTAGAAGTTTACTTTTAAAAACTAAATGAGGGCTGAAATTCTGCTGAACAATGGAAAGGGCTAGCCTGGCCTTCAGGCTCCCAAAGGGAGCACGCCACCCACTTTGTGAAACCACCACTAACAGCATAGTCTTTTGGCCCACTCTGATATAAGTTGTCATGCCACTAATGTTCCTGAAATTGCCATTAAAGCATGCAACATTTGGCTGGCTCCCCGTAGTGCAGTGACGAATCGCCAGCCACACGTCAACTGAGGGTGCATCGAACTAATCCAGGACTTTTTCATGGACGCTGACTCTACAGGCAGCCGTTTGCAACCAGATCCTGTCTGCTGCACCCCCCAGAATCCCTGGCGACAGTTACCAGGGTTTGAGCTGAAGCAGAGGCTTCGATGGTTCGCTCTGAGGAGGACACATCTGGAAGTGGCTAAGGTCTGCTCTAGCAAGAGACCAGACACAGAGAAAGAGAGGGATTCAAACTTCCTGAAGACTGCTATTTGGGGCCTTCCCTACACCATAGGCTGAAAACAGCTGGTGAGGACGTTAGCCAGTGACAAAGTTTATCTTAACAATCGGGACAGACCCCAGCTGCATCAGATCCTACAGGTATGACAGATCATCAATCCCTTAGCCAATCAGCAACACAGAGGGCTGCTGCATGGGCAGAGAGCTGGGTCTCAGTGGAGACAGCTCTGCTCTGGGCCTCCATCACATGCAGGGGCACTTTCAGTGATGCAGCTTCATAGGAACACACGTTGGAATCCTCACCAGTTAGACTAAGCTGTTTGTCCCTCTGAAGCAGAGAAATGTGGGTCCATGCAGTTATGGGAGGGGGAAAGGGAGAAATCACCCAGCTACACCTTTGTAGACACTAAGCCCTTTTCTGCTCTGGGCGGACATTACAAAGTTTGTGGAACTATGGGCTTGAATTGACCACAGACCAAAAAGGACCATTTAGGATCATCTACTCTGGCCTCCTGCCTAACACAGGCCAGAGAATTTCACCCAGTAATTCCCACATCCTGGCACCTTTGGGCATAACTTGCATTGGATGATGCTTTGCCACTGTCCACCCTTGAGGTGACAGCTTTCCAGCAGTTCCCTATGCATGTAGTTTGCAGGGCACTGGGACATGAATGGCACTATAGAACTAGATGATAGCATATTGTGCTGATGATTATGGCCAGAGGGACTGAAAGAGGAAAAGAAATAGCTCTTTAAAGCATTTCTCACTGGGCTTTTGGAGCTGCTTTTGTTCTGTGAACGGCCCACAGCAGAGCCCTGTGACTCTGCATAGGGAGCGCATTTGACACTTGTCACCGCCCCGTACCTGGGGTGTATTTGCTGCAGCAGTTGATTACATTACCTTCCGTGTTTATAAACATTTTGAATCAGTGTGGCGTGCAGTGCTGCACAGAATGTTTAAGATGGCATTGGCTTTATTTTTGCTTTTTCATCTGTAAACACACATAATGTATCTGCGATGCACTCAGCAGTGAAGGATCAGAACTGCAAATGCTTCTGCGCTTGGCTTCCGTCCTGAGCTAGCCTATTGCAGCCTCTCTCTCTCATACACACACACACACTGTTCCAGCATCAGAGCCAGAGCCGATCTCCTGTACCACCTCTCCTGTAGGGAGAGGGCATTTCAATCTCCGTATTCCTTCCCAGCCTGTGGTTCTCTAGATGGCTTCATTTAATGCAACCCTGAATGAGAGGAGACATTTTCCCCCAGCTAACAGCGCTCACACAACTTCTAAGCCCTCTGCAAACATGAGCTGGGTCTAGGTGTTTATGCGATTCTCTCAGAGCACCTTAGCCCCCTGAAAAGCTCACAGCACCCCTGGTGAGGCAGGAATTTTAGTATAATCCCCCTTGTCCATGGGAGAAAAGAGGCCCAGGGAGATTAAAGCCCTTAGGTGCAATCTTGGCCCTACTGAAGTCAATGGGAGTTTTGCCATTTGTTTCAAAGAGATCAGGATTTCACCCCATATTTTCAAGGTCTGTTGACTTGGGGTGCTTGGTGCTTGGGGGCTCAGCAAGAGACATGTGCCTGGGGCTGATTTTCAGAGGTGTTGGGCACCCACCACTCCAATCAACATCCCTGGGAGCTGCAGACACTCACCACCTCAGAAAATCAGGCCCCCACAGGTGTCTGGAGAACTGCGTCCAAAATCAGGGAACGATTTTGGCTGGAGTGACTCTGCCCCAGTCTCAGAGCAGATTCAGGGGTCCCCAATCGCCTGCTCTGCCAAGCTGCCTTCCAGTCCCAGG